GATGGAACAAAGACAGGCCCGTTCACAATGGATTTAATCGAACCGCATATTGCTTTAACGCACGATCGAATTGACTTCGATGTGAGCAATTTATCGTTAGAGCGTGGCTATACTAAAGATTTGGGTATGCGTGTTGATATCACTGGTGGAACGCATCCAATTCAATTGGAAACTATCGTCGAACATATTCGTAATAAAAATTTTGAAGTTCTACGTCCAATCGATGGCGAAAACGGTCCGAATACATCAGGAACAGTGGCCGAACGCGTTGAGAAAATGAAATCAAGAGGATGGACACAGATCGGTAAACCATTTTCATTTATTCCAAATCCACCATCAACTTGTAATGCGTTGCTTGTGTGTTACCCATCATCAACTGTACTTTATCGAGATCTTGTCGCTGAAATGCAGAAAATTCCAGGCGCTAGAGTGCTTTCAATCGAACAGATAAAAAATCCCGATGTTGAATCATTGTATGAATATATGAAACGAAGCATCGCGAAAGAATGTCCAGGAAACGATCCACGAGAACGCGAATTGTTTCATGGGACAGGTGGTGATGCAATCCAAGGAATAATTGATAGAGGATTCGATGATCGATACTTCTCACCGTCTGGTGCATGGGGTTAGTCTATTCATTGTCGAGAAGAGTAGCGCAAAGATAGGTTTTTCTTGTTTTAGGACGGGGGGTGTACTTTGCTGATGATCCTCGAAAATCAAATAGCTATGCACCGCCAGATCCACTGACAAGACATCGTGTTATTTTTTATAACAAAGTTTTACTAGGTGTTCAATGTAAACTGAGTCAACCGGATAACTCTCTCAGTGCAGCACCAAAGGGCCATCATTCTGTCCATGGAACTGGATTTCAATATGATGAATATATCGTCTATCGATATGGACAAGCTTTGCCATATCTGAAAATAACTTACACAACACCTTAAATACCTGTTTTTATTCCACGGTATCTTTGTTCTCACACTCATTTCAGTCATAGAAATTGGTATAACAAACTTTACAGGAGTCGCTTGGTATTGTAGTGCACTCAAAATTTGTCTGTTTTTGTCATCAATAAAGGAGAAATACTAGAAAGTCGTTTTAACAATAAAATTCGTACAAATCTGATGATTGTCTTAACTGATTACCATCCAATATCGATAATTTGAATAATCGCTAAAGTGTTAAGTGTGGATATATGAATCAAACTTTGTCTCGTCTAGGAGCTTAGTCGATTGGTCTTGTTTTCGAACTGGTATTGCCGTTGTAACTGCAACTGCTGATAAAATAACCGCATTGACTAGAAATGCTCTAATGAACATTTTCCAAGTGAACTTCAGTTTTTTTTGCCTAATACTTCTCAACGAGCACATATAATCCAAATATTCAAGATTATCGTTTCATCATATGGGAGAAATGAGACTTTTTTGAGGACAAGGCTTGACACGTAATTGTTGAATCGCGGTCCATTCAATCCAACAAGTTTCACTCATTGTTGGAATCTAATTCAAGACATGATGTAGGAAAGATAATTTGTCGACAGAAACAAACTTCTCGTAAATGATTCACACTAGTCTGTTGTCTAGACGGGAGCGACAACTTTTTCTATGATTGTCAGAACCACTGGCAAATGTTGTCAGATGATTGGAATAGCATTGCACTTGAGAATAACTATGGTCAAAAGACCAACAATTAAATCATCAGATTACCATTGATTATTTTCATCTGAATAATAACAACCGGATGTATAAGTTCTCATTTGATAATTCGCGGTAAAATTGAATTTGTCATTTGTTATCGAGAGAGTATCTGGAATTCAATGGACGTAAACCGAAGATAATTAATTGAACTATTTAATTGTGGCGTTTGATTAAATCGATAAAGGAATAAATTAAAAAAATATGTCGATCGAGTAGTTCAATTTTCCACTAAATGAAAATCGTTAGATTCTGTCATTGCTGTAATCTGCCACATATAAATCCAAATTTGTGTTAACAAAGATTCCGTTAGGACAATTCATTTTATCCAAATCGAAACTATTGTTACCTGTACCGGTCACAGTCGTCATTTCCATGTGATGATCTAACCGCGTTTTAACAACTGTATGCCGATCAGATAACGAATAATATAATTCATTATTGATATCGATGAAAATATCATTACATTTTGTTTGAACGTCCATGATATGAACAAAACGCTTCTCATTTGGTATCCATTTAACAATTTATTTTTCAAGTAAACTCATGTAAATTTCACCAATATTGGAAACGAAGAGAGATAGAATCATCGACTCATGTCTTATAGGAATTGCTGGATGGATAGTGTTCTCATTCCAAACTAGAATTGCATCTCTGGAATAAGCATAAACGTCAATTATATTATTAGTATCAACGAATATATCCCCAACACCGTTTTCTTTCCTGAGCAGATTTGCATCGGTACAAATGATTGCTGTTTGATCCCATTGAACTATGTCGGGCAGAATTTAGATTGATTGAACGAAAAGTGCTAGACAATATCATCTTCGAATCAAACGATGGATACTTTTCAATAGATGTCCTCACCTGATGCTTCTTTGACCACAATCAGTATAAAAACAATAGCCAGTTTAAAAATATTGCTCATTAACATATTCAACGAGATACACGAAATAAAAGTGATTTCATTCACGTTTTCTTCAACATCTATACCTCTCTTCTTCTTTTCATTATTCATAATGTACATAGATTTTAATGAATCAGATGATGGATGCGAATATACATTCTCTCTTATGCCCAATGACGTTCTCAATACACACAAATATTTGTGACGCGTAAGAAAACGCATGATGTACTTGGGGAAATGATTTTATCTTGCACGTCAATACTTCAAGCTGAACATCAGTAAAGTTTTTTTTTCTAACATATCATAGACCATGATCACCTTGAGAAAGAGTATGATTTATCTAAATGACACTCATTCGCATTCTCTCGTATCTGTAATTTAATGCATAAGTTAATATTTTTTCACGATAGTTTCAAGATCAAAACTGATTGATTTTTAATCAATTGATACTATTGAATATGATTTGAGTCTTTCTTACAAAAAACAGTGAATAGAACATTCACACTGACATAGACTATTTTGTGTAATCCATCTGGGAAATATTAATATGAAACTGACCGAGCAGAAATATTCAAAAAGATCACTTGCTTTTTTTTTCTTTCCTTTTCTGGATCATTTCTTTCGCGCTCGTCTACATTTACTGTTCAGGGAAATCGCGTTTTTATTACAAACTACAATTTAATTATGATTCGAACAAACGCCGTTTCCTGCGAGAATATTTGCCCTGATTTTTCAATCAAATGGCCATATAAATAACATATTTACATTTGGGATTGATCTACAGTTGCTTTGAACGTCTATTACGTTAGTATATAAGTCATAGTATCAACTTGTTTCTATTCAACAAAATGAAATTCACGTTGATTATTTACTTCCTCTAGCCTCATTTCAGTGCTCATCAAAAAATTCGATTTTTTCGATTTCAAACACAAACAATGAGTAAAAAGGGTGAGCAGTTCTTTCTCTCTGTTGGTGATGAATGAAAAATCTCTTTGTGTACGATATAGCATCCAATGCATGTCCTTCGTTTATTTCCAACACATTTTTCACCTACTCAACTGTTAAAATGGTTGAAGTGCCCAATTCAGCCATTGCTCTGCTGAATCGTGTCATTCAATTGGTTATCTGCGGTTATATTGCTCTGTACGTGTTCGAATTCAATCGAAATCTAGGTCATTGTTTATCATTAGTTACATCGTTTGGTATCAACGCGGATATCAAGAATTTCAAGAACCACGTGGAACGAGCGTAGCGAAAATCAAAGGCGTTTCGTCAGTCAGTGTCAAAATTCCGTCCAGTCCATCTGGTAGGACAGACGATTGGATAATCTTGAAAATGTACTTTATTTGTTTGAATTTCAGCGAACCATTCACGCGTTGTTTGGGATACAACTGAGTATGGTCTTCCACCTCTAGTATGCACACATTTTTTTTCTTCAATAGAACAATCGATTTTGATGTGATGGTTTGGCTTGTTTAGGAAAATAATGCGTTTTTTATTGCCACTCATCAAATTGTGACTTATGATCAGAGTGACAGTCGATGTCCGAGTGTAAGAAATGAATTGATGACTAATTTTATTACTCCTGCCGTTCTATTAGGCACTGAAATCGAAACTTTTTTGTGCTAACAAGACTAGCATTTGTAAAGAGGGAAAACCAACGCCGAGCACATCTGGTAAAGTGTTTCGATGAATGCAGGAATGAGAAATGTTGAGAAATTTCTAGGTTTTTTCACGGGTAAATGTGTAGCAAGTTTCGAAAATTCATCGATTAGTGTTTGTGAAATCAGTGGTTGGTGTCCTGAAGAAATGAGTGCATCGACGTAAGATATTTTCTGCTTCGAGTGTAATTACTTATCTATTTCGTTTTTCTTTATGTAGAGATCTTCAAATTAGTCTGCACGATCTGAGCAATTTTACGATTTTCATTAAAACATCTGTTACATTTCAACGTTTTGATATTAATCTGTTCGTCTTCCGATGTTGACTCTTAATTCTCGGAGGAATTCTTTGTTTTTTTTCTAGAAGAAATATTGGAGACAATACCAATTTTTCTTGCCGATATCACCCTATCGGAGATCAGCGTTGTCCCATTATCCGTGTTGGTGACATACTCGAGGGTCTCCACACAGACATTCCAGCTCTGATCAAAGAAGGTGGCGTGATCGAAATCGAACAGCTATGGGAGTGTAATTTTGACTATGACAAGCGTCTCTGTTACCCGCGATATCTATTTCATCTCTTACAAAGCGGCGATGATAAACAATCGCCTGGTATCAATTATCGGTAAGTCAAATCGATTTGACAACGGACGAGTCTTGGAACATTTGGTATGTTTAGTACAGCATATAAATATCGTTTTGATAATACGACTTATCGACTTCTATCGAAAGTTCATGGCCTCCGGTTTGTCATATCGATTTCCGGCAGAGGAGGACGATTCCATGCACTTCAATTATTTCTCGCCATTGGTAAGATCGAATTGTTTTGCAAGTAAACATATTCTCGCGTGTGCTTTTATCGTATTCAAAGGATCTGGTATTGGTTACATGGTCATTGCTGGATTGGTTTGTGATTTTATCATGGTACATGTGCATAAATCTCGTAATACATTTCGGGCAGGCAAAGTTAGCCTGGTTCGACCCACAGAAACGACGTCATCTTGAAATTGTTTCATAACTTCATATGTAGTTATTTATTTTTTTATTGGGACGCTTAATCTACTGCGAAAAAAAAAACATGTTTGGAAAAAAATAGTCGACATTCGAGTGTCTCTCTATCTCTCGTTAGCATTGTACGCGTTGACATGGTATTTGTTCTTTGAATAACGAGAACGTTTCGACTGCGAGATATGAAAGCACCGAACCTATCAGCGCGCCCAATTGCACCTGTGCTCCAAACCAAAACATACCATTTGGTGAATGAGTACGAACATAATTAGCAATGACTAGACGAGGATAGCCAAGGAATATGTAAGGACTTAACCAAATGACCAGAACGAGCACACTCCCCACACTTGTGTTCATCAAGGGCACACATGGACTTTTGACTGCTATGATCAAATCAAAACTGAATATAATCGATCCAACTATAATCAGAATTAACAGATACCGTTTGGCAATCAGTGGTTTGATTGTGCCCAGAAACCAGACGAGTGCAAACATCCATGGTGAAAGGATTGTACCCAAATAAAAGATTCTATGACCGTACGGCATAAGAACGTAGGCTGAAATTGAGAAAACTATTCCATACAAAATTGAACTTGTATACAAAGCTCCGATTAGGAGCAAAATGTAGAACTTCGGACTGAGTTTACGTAGTGGTGGTTCAGGGATAGGGTGTACTTCAGTCATCATCGGTTCAACTGTCGCGTCTTGGTTGCCAACGTTCTTTGTGACATTTGTACATTGTAATAAGACGAAAGCAGTACATGACACGCATAGTAACAGAAAAATACAGAAGAAATAGACAGAAACTGAAAATCGAGCCGTTTCGTAAATGGCAACTGTTGAAGCATTCGATATTGTATTGAAGTTAGTTGAAGAGACGCATGTTAATCGTCCATTACCTTGTAAAATCGCTAATAGACTCGGAATGATCATTGTGAGACTTTCACCCAGGAAAAGTGCACTAGTAAATTCAGCTGGAAAACGTGTCATGTAATGTGAGAACGAAACCATCGATGTACAATCAAGTAATGCGAGAAAGAACGTCAGAATAAGAAGAGCCACACTACGTTTTTGATGAAAAAGATATGTTGTATTCGACCACAAGAATACAAGCAACAAACATGAGATCATTCCAATGAAAATAACGATGTAATTTATCGGAATAATATTGAGAGGACGATTTCGACAAACACATTTACAAAAAACTAAAGCCAATGGCGCAATATTGCTCAAACTGGCAACAAATCCAAGATGACTTCCCAATCTCCAACCTTCAGGTTGTGTTAAAATAATTTGAGGTAGTTCAGTAAATATTCCATTAATATCTGTCCATGCAGATAAAAATATCAACGTTAGAAGGATATAAGTTAAATAATCATTTAATTTCCATTGTTTGTTCAACATGTTTAGCAAAAAAATTTATAGGAGATTATAAATAAAGTCAACTGTATGGATTGCGACGTGTATGGTGTATGTTAACGAAAAAAGATGTGTAATTCGAATGATTATACGCTTAAACTTAAAGAAGGATGAAAAAAAAATCGTGTTTTTTTCGCGTATTTATCAATATAACCCTTCCCTTTCTTGTATGTCATATTAAACCATACGTAATTCGGTCGTTTTCTCTCCGTGTACCGTTCTCCATAGTTCGACCATGCGTGAGAACGAACTACAGTATCAAAGAGCTCATTTGATCTGTTTATATGACATGACCATTGATTATTCACGACGTTCGAAACAACTAAACTCATTGCGTTCGTATAATCATCCATGTTTTGCCTTGAAAAACAAATTCAATGTCAACAGATAGCGCTGCTTGCTGTGAAGTGTTTTTTTTTCTCGATCCTTTTTGAGGCAATATCGTTCTTCCTCAATGATGGTCGACACAGGTAAACTATTTTCTTTCCAACAAGGACTTTCGTTCGATTGTCAGCGAAAAAAATGACGCTGGATGAACAAATTCAAGAAGTAAATTTATAAATAAAATTTATAAATAAAATATTCAATTCATTGTAGGTGAACGATGACGTCGAAGAACTCAAACGTCTAATCAATGAAACGAGCCGTTCTCGAATCAAACAACTTCTAGAAGTGCAACAACAGAAATTAGAAAAAGAATTAGGCCAGTTGAAAGAGAAATTGCAAAAAGAACAACAACAAGCTACTGTTCAAGCTGCCGAAAAGACAGCGAATACTCTTCCCATCTCGACACACTCCTATACAAAGGATATTACAGTCTATGGTAAGACGATGATGTACAGTTTTGATTTATATTGTCTATGATTCATTGTAGCATGGGATCAAAGTGATAAATTTGTGAAAATTTATGTTCAAAATCTTGACGGAGTTGGAGATTTACCGAAAGATCAGGTTGAATGTTCATTTGAGAAAAAGTATGATTAATAAAGGTGTTTGACTTGCATGAATTGAATCGTTGTAGTGGTTTCCATCTACAAATCCAAAAACTGAAGAATATCAACTATTCTTTGAAGAAAACTCATCTTCGACATGATATTAAACCCGAAGAATCGACCTTTCGAGTTTGTCATGCAATCTCTTCTAATAATTTCTTTGAAAATCTTTTTTTTCTAGGTTAAAAAAGATATGGTGATCGTCTCTCTACGAAAAGTCGAATCGACGAATTGGGAAAGTTTTCTGAAAGAGGAAAAGCCAGCCGTTCTGAAGTAAATCACGTTTTTTTTCCTCATATTTGATACGAATTGATTGGGTTGTTCGATATAGATCACTGCCGAATTTAAGTAAAGCAAAGGATAATGAATCGTTTATGAATGCTGTCGAAGAAATGTATGAAAATGGCGACGATGACACGAAACGAGCTATAGCTAAAGCATGGACACAATCGCGTGAAAAAGCGAATGCTTTCAGTCAAAAACAGGAAGAAGATAGTAAAAATCCTGATATTATTCGTACTCCTGATTTTACGTTTTATCCTCCGCCGAAAAAGAACTAAACGTCAAAGAGACACTTTTTTGTGAAATAAACCGAATTATAAGTGAACTTTGCTGTTTTTAAGAGAAATCATTTGATAATCGACTGATATCGCATTGCGTTTTGTTTGCACCAATCTAAACCGTCATGAAATCAATTCACAAATCTTGAGGGTGAGGATGTGCTAGATAAATTCCTCGCCTTTGCTTATGTGACCAATCGCCTGGACTATGTTCGAACTGAGAATTTTATATTTACGAAAATTGTATTTCTACTGCAGAAGATAGCCGCGAGAAAATAAATCAATGAATCATGTATTATTAATTAAAATAAAAGAATGATTACAGAATAATGATAACTTGATTCCAATGAAGACTACCATCAGTCGGATTCCCCATCGGATTCTGACGAAGAAGATGATGATTCTTGTAACCACCTCGCTATTTTATCCTTGACCAATTCCTTCAGCTCGTTCTGTTGATTAGCATCTGGCAATTTGGACTTTATTCCTTTCTTGTTTAACTCATAATGTAAACCCACAAGTAGTTCCAGCACCAGTACTAATACAACATCCTCTAGTCTCTTGGAATTCAAATGCAATAATTTATCTCGCTCTTTCAACTCCTCCAACGATTTCTCCAACACTTTCAGTGTCAAATTGAATAGTGGCTTTTCTAGGGTGCTCAAAATCATCTTCTTATTTAATCCCAATTCATCTAACTTCATCAAAATCTTGCCCTGTATCTCCTTTCTACTCAATTCCTTATGTAGCTGTCGTACTAATGTCTGTGACAGAGTCAAAAGCAAATGCTGCAAAACTTCCATTAGTTCGTATTCTAAACTCAATTTCCTCTTCCACTTTGAAAATGTTTGTTCTTGAAACTCCACAAATTCACGTTTCAGCCTCTTCAGTGTCTTGTTCAGCATGTTCATCATCAGTTGATTCATCCTTGGACTTAGCTGTACTCCCTGTTCTGAAAACAGTGACAGCGATATCAATTTCTCTAATGTTGCTTGCAATTGTATGTCTATTTCTTGTAATATTGATCCTTCCTGCGACACTTGGCGTGGGAATAAAATTTTAATAGTATCACTCAATTCGATGTCCTCAATTTGAAGAACAGGAGGTTGTGTTTTCATTTTGGATAATCGATCGAGATACACTTTCAATTGATCTAACTGATTTGTCCAATCATCAATATCCGTTTCGACGTAGCATTCAGTTTTTTCTTGTCTTTCGAATTCTTCCATCATCGTTGCTAGTCTTTTCTTATGTATACCATATTGTTCTGTTGGATTGATGAAGCTTTGGACAGTTACACGTGCTTCTTCGGCTATTGTTGATACACGGTCGATCGTACGTTTTTCCCATTCGTTGATTTGGTCTATTAAATGAAGATTCTCGTAATTGGGCGATGAATTTCCCACAGAGTTCATTCGATCTTGCAAGCTTTGTGATAGTTGATTATGATAATCACGAACATCACGTAAGTCTTCCAAAAGACCGTTTCGGTGGTCATTAAAATGATTTCGGCAAAAATCTTTCGAACACCCTGAACATGTAGCGGTCGACGGAATATGCTCAGAACACACTATACACATCACTATTTCTGATGTATCAGTCATATTTGTAACTCCTGAAAAATATAACTTCAATATGAAAATGCAAAATAACCTAGCCGTGAGAATATATTCAGATAAACGATAAAAGAATTTTTCTTGTTCTTATCTCAGCTTTGCGTGTTCTTCTGGAATGTTACATAGGTTAGACACGTAGCATTACATGTGAAGAAAATGACTATTTTTTTTTGTAGATGTCATCGAAGACAAATTCGGCTCCATTGAAATTTACCGGAAAAGCTTCTGAATGTAGGAACTGTTTCAAATATTTTGAATATCAAATTTTTGTATCTCTCTAGCTGAAGACGAAGACGAAGAAGTCACAACGAAAACTACGTCTTTGAATCCTAGTACATGCTTACAAAAGAATATCGCGGGGTGATTGTGTTTGATTGAAGTAGCTTGACGGCTCTTTCTTTTTTTTTTATTACAGTAAATTATCCTCGAAATTCATGGCGAAAGTTTTCATCAAGGAGAAAAACAATCAACGATTGGATAATTTACATAAATTAGTGTGTAACTATTCAAGTAAAAAAGACGCGGACAAATTGATTAAGGCTATTATAAAGACAAGTGTGAAGAGCAGCATTTTATATCGAAGTGAATTATTCAATGAAGACGAACTTCAATTAATTAAAGAATTTCAGAATCAATTCCGTTTGTTCGCTGAATCTTCTACAAAATTATACCAAACTAATTCGAAAGATGAACAATCAGTATTGATCCGGGTGTTGAAAGAGTGTCAGAATTTATCTCATAAGATTATTTCGACGCATTTGGCGAACAAATATCATGCGAAGATCGATTTCATTTTCGATTCCGTGTCAAATTTACAATTCATTGAACAGATATTTGATCCATTATCAAAAGCAAATCGTTTAATTATGAAGGAAGTTGTCGACGACCTAAATTCACAATTCTTGGCAGATAACAGCTTTTGAACTATAGTTAATCGCTTTTTATTCAGGAAGTTACAACATTCAGGATTATTGATTTTGTATGAAATAACTATGAGCAAAATAAAAGATCGAATCTGTTCATACATCTTTCAGTCAGTCAAGCAAGCATAAATCCAACAGGGGATATTCAAGCCACCTGTTAAAATACAAATCAAACAACACAACCCGTGATTGGTTCCTCGTCGTACAATGACTTGATGTGGCTGCTGCTGTTGTTGTTGCTGTTGCTGTTGTTGCTGCATAATGATAATCGGAGCACCTCCACCACCACCGTATGGAGGGTTCATATAGGCTGGATGGGCGGGATATGGCTGAGGACCTTGGGTGTTTGCGTACGGGACTGAGGGAGGGAGTTGTGGATCTGAAGCATACGGTGGCGGTCCTTGGTTGTACGACATTGCGTGAGTGACACTTTTATTAGAATGAAGAAATATTTTCTTTCAGGCAGAATTCATCAGAAAAGTCTTTTTTTTTGTTTTTCTCTTTGTCTCTATGAACATTGGGTTTTGATTGATTTTATGCCGGCTTCCCACTCGTCCTCTTTTCTTTCTTCTTTAGTTTTCTTAATTTTCTTGTCTACATTATTACTTCGCATTTTTTATAAACTTATCTTCGGTAACGTTCAAGTTTTTGCAAAAAGAAAAGGAAAAAATACTTCAAGAAAGTATACTTCCTGAAAAAAACAGGAAGTGGAAAGCTAGACCTTACGATGAAAGTAACACTTTTCTTCTCAAGTGAGAAGAAAGTGAATGACAATAGACAATTACTGTTTGAATAAAAATAAAAATGCTCATAAATTCTATATAAATTGAATGAAAAGGTGAGAAGCGGAAAATGCAATTGTGCTTACGCATTCACTATCGAATAGAAAGAAACATTAATTAACAGCCACTGATACTTTAACATATCAAACATGGCAGTTTTCTTTTCAGTTTTACACATCGTATGACGCTTCATTTTTAAGAACAAAAATGATGATTTATTATTTAGAATGAGAAAAAAAAAGTTTAAGAACATAATCCACATTGTTCAATCCATAGTAAGGACAAACGATTCACTTACATTATAAAATAAGCAGCTTATGTCAAGTTTGATCTACATCATATGATGATTTATATTTTTGCCACAGAAATATCTGGCAAAGAATGTTCATTTTTCACACTGTCTATATTGAAATTTATCATACGCGAATTTAGACGAGAAAATCAAACAGCGGATCGTTGATTGAATACTACCGTTCTCGGTGGGTGAAGAGTCGCATTCGTAACAGGAACTATCCGATTACCTACTCGATTTCGAAATATTTTATGAAACAATTCGAGTAACTCTTGTCTATAGATATAACCAGATAGAAAATATAAAAAGAACGATGAACTATACGAACAGTAATACAATAGTAGAGCAATTGTTGACACAAATACGTAAGTAGATGTTGGACTGATCACGTTAGGTAAAGTCGATAGAAGATAAAAGACACTTGCTGGTATTGTGAGCGAAACATGTACACATACTTGAAATATTAACATTCGTGCCAGTTGTTGTTCAGTTCGATTAAATCGTGAAATCACCACAGGCACTAACCGTGATCGCCTTATATTGTAAATAGTCCAAACACCAAATAAAACCATCAGAAACGGCGGAGCCAAAGCATAGAGAAAAAGTTGCAGAACGACATAGATGCTACTATAAACAGTATTTGCTTTTACAGCACAAGTAAAACCTTTCGATGGCTGTAGATCGTATAGAAAGAAGATATTGATGAAGAAAACTGCGTATGCTATGATAATGATAAAGATGATCCATTGGCTAACACGAACAGAACTAAATTTTCGTGTACGAGCATTGATTGAACTGGCGCAGTATCGATCGATTGAAGCTGCGATGATCAAGTAAGGAGAAATGTATGAAGTGAGTGTCGTAATGTAGTTTATAATTCGACATGAGATTGTGGAGTAAGTCCCTAGATCAACTTGATATACATTCATTAAGAAACGATATACGAGAACAAGACATATAACTAATAGATTGTTAACAGCAGCAGCAAGAAAGTATCGAGAACATGCGTGATTGTAGAGTCGACGTCGAGTCAATACAATAATATTCAGTAAATTACCTGCCATACCAAAACTAATAATCACAGGAAGAGTAAAACGAGCGATCTGCATGCTAATCATGGTCAGTGATGTTGACATTGTTGCCTTGTCTCCTGTTTGTGCTTCACGGACATATATGACGATCTAAGCTTGCTTAAATAGCAAATAAATTAGTATTAAAAAACCCGTATGACAAAGACTTTTCTACGGAATTCAAATCTATGTCATCTTTGATTGCAGTAAGTGCATGTGGACACATGGCTTATATAGATTTGCTTTTCAATTTAGAGTTAACGAATTTGTTGTAATTTTTTTAGCTTTGCGATTGTGACGTCAGTAAAGTAATTATGAAAGAACTAATCTTTGTTGCTTGAGCTGCTCAATTATGGTAATCGTTTAATCTTTGCAGAAATAGAATACTAAAGCGATTTTGTATGTGAAAACCTAATCTTTCAGAAAGAGTTGTTTTTTTGACTGCAGATAAAAAAAAGTTTACTCTAGTTTGTTCATGGTGAAGTTCCGTATTTAGATAAAGCTGAAACGTCATCTTAACTTAATCTTGTTAAACTCTAATTGGTAGAAACACCTCAACTCATTAATTCATATTTTTAAATCTTATATAACTATTGACACAATGGTTACGGCAAATGCAATTTGATCGTTCTGAGCGAGATCGCATATTTGATTGACATTCTATCGTTCGTTGACAAATAACAGTGTTTGTTCATAGTTAGGAAACAATTTTCTTTTCAGAGAACCTTTAGATCCATTGAATTTTATAGAGTGAATATGTCATTCCCACACAAGTGACCAAAAGGAAATGTCGATAATGATGGATGTTTTATTATATTAGAGCACTTGAGATATAAAGTTTTGCGTGTTTTTGTAGTAGTAGCATTGAATTGTCGTCGAAAGCTGCCTAGGATTCGAATGGCGTTATGATTGCAGAAAACTCTAGCAGCATAGTAGGTTCCTCACTCCTTGAACGTAATGGATCATTCGGAATATTAATCACTGATGATGTTCTGTATATCGGCGATTCAGATAACGATCGAACCGTTATCATTCATTGTGAATCTGCTGTAAACATTTCTATTATCGGTTATGATCCAAATCTTCTAAACTCACTCCATGATCTTATTGTCTTAAAAAGTTCGCTCTATGTTGTCGATACAAGTAATGGTCGAGTGTTACAAATGCCACTCGATGGTTCGAACTTAACTAATGTGACTTGTGCAATCAACTTATGATCAATAACGTACATATTTATTGATTCTAACAATAATATGTATTATGTCTGCGATAGTGATAATTCGCGAATTACTAGATGGATGCCCAATTCAATATTCGGTGTCTGTATTGCTGGTTGTACAAGTGCTTTTCGAATTTTGTTGAATCAATTAGACTGGGATTTAGCTTTTACCTTCGATAGAAACGGTTCATTCTATGTATCCGATAACAAAAAAAACATCGAGTACAAAAATTTCAAATTCTCAATTACCCTAGTGAGTTTTCTACTTGTTCGTAGGTCTTTTCCAATGAACATTTGTTCTTTTGTTGAATAGTTTCATACAATTATCCCGAAATCGATACGAATCTGCCATGGAACCAATGTGAAATTTCATTTCCCAGCCCAACCATCTCTGGTTTCAATCCATCTTGGCATTTTCATTGATTCTGATGACACGATGTACATTGCTGATTATGATAATCACCAGATTTTGATCTGGTCTATAAATACTAGTCAGTCAATGTAAAACACCACTGTTTCACTGTTCAATCACACAAATCTATTCGTTATGAAATTCTCGAACAGTTGCATTGGGTTATTAGTCGATGTTAAAAATAATCTTTACTGTTCCATTCGGTCGGAACATCAAGTTGTGAAAGCCTCGTTTAATAGTCATAATAGCACAGTAATGACAGTAGCTGGAACGAATCGGTGTATAGCTACAAACGAACTGAATCAACCATAAGGAATATTTATTACAATTGGTATGTCGCCGAGAGTATGAACGGTAGAATTCAACGCTTTTCCGCAGGACAAACGTAAACAGTTACAGTAGCAGGAAGCGGGTCTCCAAACGGTTTGCAACTAGTTTTGTCCAATTGACATGATTGCCGACACGAATGACCTATTGTACATTGCTGATTTCCAAACATATTTTATCATTCGAGTAGGACCGACGAGTTATGAATGTGTCGTTGGGTGCACAGGTTCGACTGAATCATCATGCGTAAAACTAAATATATCGCCTGCACTTCGTTTTGATAGTTCTCGTAATTTATACGTGGCAGACACAGCGATAAAAGAATCATCTTTTCAGATGTCCAAACCATAACAACAACAACTGAAATGACGACGATGCTCATCGCTACAACACTTGAGTCGCGTGAGTATATTGGTCGAACTGCAAGTGCTGAAATCCTCATTTCATCGTTCATTTCGTCTTTACGTCTCAATTCAACAAATATTGGTGCTCATTGCAACATGACAAAGAGTTGGTGTAGCGTACTCGATCCGTGTGAAAATAACGGTAGTTGTTATGATATAAACAACAATCAGGATTACCATTTTTTGACAAAAAAACGATGTCAAATTGACCGTTGAATATGCAAAGCAAGCAATTGTTTTCATAATGGTAAAAACTATTTTGTATCCTCTTCCTTTCGTAATGCATTGTCTTTTCCAGACAAGTGTTACACAGCATTCAATACAACGTTTTACTGTTCGTGTACGTATGATTCTCAATGATTACGCTGCGAAACGAGGATCAACTATTGTTCATACGTATATTCAATGTGAAAATCGAGGTGTCTGTCATTTATCTTCGTCTATATCTGTACATGCGACTGTTTCATTGGAACTTACGACCAAAATTGTCAATTGATCACTTCTAAACGAAGGGCCTATCGGATTGTCGGATAATCCTTAGCTTATATTGCTTTGAAATAGGCTTAGTTCGACGAGAAATCGTGCGAGTTCGACGAATCGTATAACGATTCATGTTTGTTGCGCCTATTTATTCTTCGTTGTTACACGAGATGACATACAAACAGAATTTTAACAATAAAACATCAACCTATTCTATATCTTTTTCACAAGAAATAGGTGATACAAAGATAAAAGATACACCTGTCTCTTCTCTACAATCAGCACCCTGCTGCTTTATTTTTTCCTTTCATTGTTCTTCAGGTGGAAAACAGACACAAGATGCTGCAGCTCAAAGCTCTAAAACAACAAGATACACAAGAAAAGCATGCACTAGATGAAATCAATATTACAAATCAAATAAGATTTCGTCGTCTTCAACGTCGTTGCATTGTCATCAGCTCTATTTCTCTTGTCTTGGCAATCTTTATAATAACTTTGTCATTACTATTGAAATTTGTTATTCTAAAACCAGCGAAGTCAACAACAACTACAACAACAAAAACAACGGTGTTATCGACTTCTACCACGACAACAACTCCATCACCGACTTCACAAATATCTACTATGATCACATCGGAACTTTCAACCACGATGACAATAACATCAACATCAGCGTTGATCACAACTACCACTACTCCAAAACCACCAAGTAGGCTCCCACAGTCATATTTCTGCTCGTTCACTATAACTTCTCTTTCCTTGTCAATACTACTGTGAATATTTCAAACTCATTCTTTCCTAGAATGGTCTCCAACTGCTGACATGACAGTTGACCGAAGCTCACATACAGCATCATTGCTAGGCAATGGAAGAGTTTTGGTTGCTGGTGGAATCGGACCGTTTGCCAGTATCCTTTCGAATGCTGAATTATATGATCCGTCNGGGGGAGAAAATAGCAACGGCACTCTCAACAGTGTCGAGTTATATGATCCAGCCACAGGTAACTGGTCAATTACTGGTAGTATGAACGAAGCACGCAAATGGCATGCAGCAACACTTTTAAGAAGTGGTCAAGTTCTGATAACTGGTGGTAGTGATGACAACAGCTCACTGAATAATGTAGAGTTGTACGATCCATCGACAGAAAGTTGGAGTATCGGCAGCGAACGAATGAATGCATATCGATATTTTCACACAGCAACATTGCTAAGCGATGGAGATGTGTTAGTCGCAGGTGGACAAAACTACGAGAATGGCTATATAATGGATAGTGCCGAACTATACAACCCGTCTACACAAAGTTGGGCATTAGTCGATCGAATGGAAAATGAACGAACTTCACATACCGCACTTCTCCTGCCAGATGGAAGAGTAGTAGCCATGTATGGGAACAGTCAAGGGGATCTGTTTTACGCTAGTGAAGTGTACGATCCAGCGACAAGAATATGGACCGCGAGCGATGATATCGATGATTCATTATCCGGGCATACTGCTGTTACATTGCTAAATGGTCAAGTTCTAGTTGCCGGCGGGTTTATTGATAACGAAGCTTTAAGCAACGCACAACTGTACACCGCACAGGCACGACGGTGGACTAATACTCGAAGAATGAATGTAGCAAGAATATCTCACACAGCTTCTTTACTAAAGAATGATAAAGTTTTAGTGTGTGGTGGCATAGATGGAGACGGCACCCGTTTTAGCAGCGCAGAGTTATTTGATCCATCCACAAATACCTGGACTAATGCTGCTAGCATGCATCACATCCGCGCAAGTCACACTGCCTCTACTTTGACAAATGGGAAAGTTTTGGTTGCAGGTGGAGTAAACGATTATTACCGCCTAAATAGTACAGAATTGTATGATCCATTAACAGATAGCTGGTCAATGATTAGTAGTATGAATGAGCCACGAACAGAACACACTGCATCCACATTAGCTGATGGCAGAGTGTTGGTTACTGGTGGCTCAACCGATGGTGCTCACACTTCTAATACCAGTGAAATATATGATCCACTAACGGAAGAGTGGAGTTTTACTGGTTCTATGACTTTCGCACGTAATCATCACAAAGCAACTGTGTTATCGAATGGGCAAGTGCTAGTTACAGGCGGACAAATGGATGATAGTCGTATTAATAGTGCTGAACTATACGATCCAGCAACAGGACGTTGGTCACCGACCGGCAGTATGAATATAGCACGAAAAGATCACAGTGGAACATTATTAACTAATGCGAAGGTATTGGTGACGGGCGGAGTTTCTGATACTGTAACTCCATTCAGAAGTGAATTGTATGATCCGGCAACAGGCATCTGGACTTTGACTGCTTTTATGAACGAAGCACGGTGTGAGCATCTAGCGGCGTTATTACCTGATGGAAAAGTTTTGGTAGCTGGTGGATTCAATACCTATTATATAAAAGGTTGTGAATTGTATGATCCTGAAAAAGAAAGCTGGTCAATCACGGACAATATGAACTACGACCGAGTAGACAGTGTAGCATGCACGTTATCAAATGGAAAAGTGTTAGTAATTGGTGGAGACGAATCGATTAGTACTACTAGAGCAGAAATATACACTCCGTAGAACGTTCGGTGCCATCACAATGATATTCACGCTCACAATCTATTATTTTCATTACGGACAATGAGAAATTATTTGTGTGTATGTTCTGAACTATTTTTAAAATAATGAGTAAATCAAGTTTCAAAGTGTAAAATTTTCAATTCTTGTCGCTATTATTAGTAAAAGTGTTCTTCAACATGAATGAAAAGTGCATCTTGCGTCGTTAAGAAACTTCTGCGTAACGACAGTCTACAATAGTTCTAAATATTCTCAAAGTTCTACATCAGTGGTTTAATCAAGAAATGATCGATTCTCTTTTTCTTGGCTTTGAATTCTATATTTTATGTGTTAGTTCTTCGCATCAATTGAATCCGTATATGCTATAATAATAGCAACACTCGATATAGTGTTGCGCGTTGATTCGTCACGTCTTGAGGCATTTGTTGCAATACTGACAATTGGCAGTGACGTAACCAGGGCTTTTATTGACGGATCTAGCAAAAGACTGATAACTTCTGATGAATAAGAAGCCAAGAAAACATTTCGTTTATCACTATTGACTTCAACAACGTTCTGACTTTTTTTCTTGTATACCAATCAATCTTACGATCAACATCAATTCATGACTTTTAGATAAGAAATACTTGTGAAAAGACGAAATATTTCATCAAGTGAGTTTCATTTACATATCAATGTCGCACGCTCATGATCTTCTTGATGCATTCATACTATCCAGACAATTAACTACGATTAGGAAAAGACAAAAAGATAAATTGATTTTCGTTTTTACATTGAAATTGTTCAGTCAAGATGTTTTGTCAGAATAGAAAATTTCACTGTGTCCGGATCGATGTTTGGATAAAGTCGTTGAGGCGGATATGGAATAAATCGTCCGGTTTCGACGAAACCTAGTCGATAATACCAGTCGATCTGTTTTTTTTTACTTGACAAAATATGACTATAAATGCGTTGTGCATTAAAATATTCTTTCGCCATTCGCTAAAACAACAAAGTTTTTTTTCTATACTGTGCAAACAGCTAAATATTAGCATTACCAATGCTCCATTGTACAACAGCGTTCCTATTCCTCGACTTTGATAATCAGGATCTACAGCATAGAGACCGAACTCCACTGCGACATCCTGCTTTTCATCATCACCTATCTGTAAATTCTTATCATACGATTCAATTTTGATGCAACCAACAATCTGCAATCCCGATGGTGTTCTAAGTTTAGCAATAAGAATAAGACGATGCTCCTTATCTTTGATCTGTGCTCGAAGTGATTCTAATGCAATTCGATCTGCTTTAACCACTTGCCTTATACCGATCCAACTAAAAGTATATTCACCAGGCACTGTTGTAGATGGTTTACTTCCATATGCCCAATTGATCACTTTGTATAAATCTTCACTGTCGTCATCCGATGCGATATACAGATGAATGTTCTCGTTCGAATAACTATCAACAAGCTCCCCTGGCTGAAAATAGGTGTTACCGTTTGCCATCGAGTGACGAATTGTGATAACGTCATGACAATAAATATAAAATAAGAAAGACAAATACAACATAAAAGCGACAAGGTCGTTATTTCAAGGTGAAAAACATCGAAACCTTATCTCAATGTTTCTTTCGATATTCTGTTACTCAAACATAACATAAAACACACATATTCCTATTCAGCAGATATTTCATTTACCGTTCGATATTCGACAATTAAACACACCCTTTTTGTCGTCTATTTAACTTCGCATCGTACCATAGACACTACCTGTCAATAAGAATCATATGTACATGCGTTTGAACTTGTGTTTCATCTAAAATTGTCGATGGTATGTGAATAATAGAGAAGTAGTATACAGGTGACCCATATACGAAAAAGTATTATCTAAACTAATCTATAGTTAGGATTGGATTTAACTGTAACAAGAAAATCTCATGTTCAAATCGATTTGATTCAATCTAAACAGTCGATCTTTTTCCATTACACTCTTATAATCTATTTTTGTCAAACCAATCACCGTAGGTATGAAGTGCAATGCAAGTCATTGTGCACACTTCTGCGTCAGCAGAAAACTCTTATCAGTATCATAAAATTACATCTCTTTCTTTCCACATTTTACATCACTTTTGATTCACATGGCGAAAAGCAATTCCACAACGAATAATGTCCTGAATGAATCGAGAAATCGACGGATTTCATCCCTGCGTCAACTACCCAAATCATGGATCATCATCGCCATAGTTTTCTATTGTGCATCGCTTGTTACTGTCGGTCTATTAGCTGGTCTTCTCCCGCGACNCTTTCTTTCCACATTTTACATCACTTTTGATTCACATGGCGAAAAGCAATTCCACAACGAATAATGTCCTGAATGAATCGAGAAATCGACGGATTTCATACCTGCGTCAACTACCCAAATCATGGATCATCATCGCCATAGTTTTCTATTGTGCATCGCTTGTTACTGTCGGTCTATTAGCTGGTCTTCTCCCGCGACGAGTACAATACATCACGGTACTTGAAACGTCATCATTACCAACAACGGTTACGCAAAATCCATCGGAATGTGTTGAAGACGAATGTAATTCGCGTTTGCTCAGTGATTTAATAGTGGACAGTTATGAACTGGAATATATTTGTAACGATATCAAACAAACGACGATGGAAGGACAAGTGACAATTAATTTTCAGTTGAGACAACCAATTAAACAACTGATTTACCATGCGAAGAATATGGTTGAACTCCAAGACGCCATATTGTTCGAAAATGATGTTCAACACGCGATTTCAATGAAAAGATACCTTCCCAATGATTATTTATCATTGCGTTTAGTAAACAACTCACTATTTCCCACTAGTCAATATAAACTAAAACAAAAGTTTGTTATCAATCTACTCAATCCAAGTATTGGCTTTTACCAAAGTTTGTTTGAAGATACAAATGAAATCAACGGGTGAGTTGTCCTATGAAATTGCAAAATTTTTCCGTTACTTTTGAATAATTTAGAACACTGTTAGCAACGAAATTTCGAGCAACTGAAGCACGACGTGTATTTCCATGTTTTGATGAGCCACGTTTCAAAGCGCAATATAAAATCACTCTCATCCATCCCCAAAATACAATTAGTTTGTCCAATTTTCCGATCGTACTTTTCTTCTTCTACCAAAGAAGCTCTACTTGCATTTTTTTCATTTTCTTTCAGTTGACACAATCCGTCGAAAACAACTCACTTCGCACCACATTCGCCGAGACATTTCGCATGAGTACTTATGCAGTTTCCTGGGCTATTCTTCCCGAAACCTATGGGAAAATCTCAGATAATGATCAATCACCAACGGTAGGACATTTCGTTGAATGAATCCACACCATCCGTTTCATTCAGGTAACCATATGGGCGCGACAAGAACCAACAAAAAAGAATCACACGACTTTAGCACTTGATGTTGCAACAAATGCAATTCCATTCTATAAAAATTATTTCAATGTAACCGAAGCTTTACCTCCGAAGAAAGGTAAGAGAAGATTCGTACGAACATCTTCAACGTCCTCGGAACTTTTCTAGATATTTTGGCCATAGCTAATATGGCAACAACTGCAATGGAGAGTTCAGGTTTGATTACCTATCGTGAAGAGAGAATAATTTATGATGAGAAAATTGCGACTACGTATCAAAAACAACAATTCGCAGATATCGTCGCTCATGAAATCGCTCATTCTTGTAGGTAGAATTTAGATAAAGATATTGCCTTTAGAAAAAACTTTGTCAGGGTTCGGAAATTATGTGTCATGCAAATGGTGGGATGATCTATGGTTCAGCGAAGTGATGGTTAGTTGGCTTTGTAGAAAAACATTCGCAAACAAATATTCAGATTGGAATATGGTAAGAAATGTTTTCATACAGAATTCTTTTTAATAATCTCTTTCCCAAAAGGAATTGCAAATTTTAACAGATGACACAATTTCTGCGATGTGGGATGACGCCAAACCGTACTCACATCCCATTGCTGTTGGAAATGCGATGAGTATTCCGGAAATTCTCAGTTATTTAGATGGATTGACCTATTCGAAGGGAATTAGTCTAATGCGTATGGTGGAAAAAATTGTTGGCGAGAAAGGATTTCAAAGAAGTTTACAAGAATATCTGAGAACGAATGCATTTAATGTTGCTGATTTGAATCAATTTTATAGCACGGTGTTGGGAAATTTGACGAACGGAAGGGAATTTATGAAAAGTTGGTTAGATGAAATGAACTATCCATTAGTAACGATCGATTTACAAACGGAAATTAATTCAACGAAACTAATTTTTACTCAGTCGCGTTTCATCATCTCGGACACATTCAACACAACGAATTTGAATCAAAATTACCGATGGAAAATCTATCTGGATTGTACTCTGAGCAGAAATAATTCGAACTCCGAGAGGCTCAGATTTGTTCTCGAAAATGAACAAAGCATTGAATTTCTACCCGAAAACGAATATTCATGGGTGAAATGTAATCGTGATTTCCAAAGTTTTCATGTCACCAAATATCCTTCCAACTCAATACAATCTTTCTCATCCATTATCAAAGCACAACCAACAGTATACGAGACAAATCTCATTCACTCATCTTCCTTCTCTTGATTTCGTTTAGTTCTTTTCAATTGAAGATCAAATTAATCTCCTACAAGATACATTCTTGCTTGCTTATAAAGGCTTGGGTGATTACCTTGATCCACTGTTAATCGTTGACTCGTTGGGGAAAACATCCATGACAGAATACGTGCAATGGCGAACATTTCAATACCATTGGGATATCTTAGCTGATTTGATTGATCATCTACCCGACATATTGACAAAATTTCAAGTAAAAAGTTTATTTTCGACCGTCACTTTATGTAAAGTGTTTTTTTGTTTCAGAATTTCGCAATTCAACAAATTCTGTCGAATGGCCGAACAGTAGAGAATATTACATCGTTGTCATTACAGGATAATCACAATTCGAAATTGGTGAAAAGTTTACAATTTGCACTACTTTGTCGAATGAATTATAGCGATGCTCTGGACAAAGCAAGTTTGCTCTTTCGATCAATTCCGAAAGGTTATTTTAACAACACGAACAACGATATCAAGTAAGAAAATGAGTAGACTGTTTTCATAGAGCAATAGAATCGTTTGCATTTTAGTGTTCCTGCTGATTTCTTATCGACTGTTTATACATATCATTTGAAAACAGATGATGATGAAAACGACTGGAATCAGATGTATCAATATTACCAAATTAGTAGAACATCACATGAACAAACACGTGCTTTGATGGCGATTAGTTTCACGAAGAATACGGATCGATTGAACCGGTACGGAAATTGACGATTTCATTGAATAATTTTCGCCTGTTTTTTGTTGAAAGGTTGCTTAATGACGGATTAACAGGTGGACCGTATGCAATCAAACGACAGGATTATTTCACTATGATGGGTTATATGAGTCGACATGTGATTGGAAGAGATATTGCATGGAATTTTTATAAAAATAACTATACGAATTTAGTAGACACGTTCGTATTGATTGTGTTCGTACATCGAATGATGCTGTATGCATATGTTTATTTAGTTTTACGCTACAAAACTTTCGATTCGGTTCGGCCATCCTTTCAATAGCACGTACATTTGAAAAAGAATCCTATCTTGACGAAGTAAAACGAAACCTTCATTTGTTAATGATAACTTCTTCTTTTCGTCCGATTTAAGATGAACGATTTGTTTGCAAAGTATCCAAATGCTGGTGTTGGACAATCTGCACGTCAACAAGCTATCGATCAAGTCAAGATGAATATTCATTGGGTTAACACGCGAGAACAAAATCTCCGCGCTGCTCTTGATAGTATAGCTCTATCTTGAAAAGAAAATCTTTTTAAATATTATACTGATACTAACAAGATGTATTTTCCTTCAATAAAATTCATTGATATTGAATAATCTAATTTCATCTTGAGTTTCTCGTTCATTCGATACATTAAGCACTTGTGATTGCTCATCTAATATATTACGTGATTGACATGAAGCCTTATATACAAATAACTACGAAGAAAGAGTAAGATGAAAAGGTATAGAATAAAAACTATGTCGTGACGTTGTGATACTTAGCACACTCGGACAGAAAATATATATTTTTTTAATGAGCAGTTGGAAGTGAGAATATTATAAACGCAAAGTAAAAGAAAATATTGTCACACCCACATACTTGTTCATACTTTTTTCAAGACCAGCGTATTTGAAAACTCAAGGTCTAAGAAAATGTTGTTGGAATGTTTTCATTAGCTTTCTCATTGAAACAACTTTGTTGATAGTTTAAAGCAAGTATAGCGTTTCATTTGACGCACGGAGAGTGATTAGGAAAGTACAAGAGCTTTTTTACTGCTTATGAATGTTTAATAAAGTCATCCATTTGATAGTTAATAGTGCATTTTCCGTATGCATTTTTGTAATTGGAAAAAAAGCTGTAGAAAGTATTTTCTGTAGCGAAAGAAGTGCGCAACTGTTGTTCATTTTATTTGTTATTAGTTCAAATCAACCAACACACACTTTTCTTTCCAGTGAAATTGNTATGACTGATGCAAGAAGTGGACATACAACAACGGTGCTGTCCAATGGTAAAATAATAGTTGCAGGGGGAGAAAATAGCAACGGTACTCTCAACAGTGTCGAGTTATATGATCCAGCCACAGGTAACTGGTCAATTACTGGTAGTATGAACGAAGCACGCAAATGGCATGCAGCAACACTTTTAAGAAGTGGTCAAGTTCTGATAACTGGTGGTAGTGATGGCAACAGCTCACTGAATAATGTAGAGTTGTACGATCCATCGACAGAAAGTTGGAGTATCGGCAGCGAACGAATGAATGCATATCGATATTTTCACACAGCAACATTGCTAAGCGACGGAGATGTGTTAGTTGCAGGTGGACAAAACTACGAGAATGGTTATATAATGGATAGTGCTGAACTATACAACCCGTCTACACAAAGTTGGGCATTAGTCGATCGGATGGAAAATGAACGAACTTCACATACCGCACTTCTCCTGTCAGATGGCAGAGTAGTAGCCATGTATGGGAACAGTCAAGGGGATCTGTTTTATGCTAGTGAAGTGTACGATCCAGCGACAAGAACATGGACCGCGAGTGATGATATCGATGATCCATTATCCGGGCATACTGCTGTTACATTGCTAAATGGTCAAGTTCTAGTTGCCGGCGGGTTTATTGACAACGAAGCTTTAAGCAACGCACAACTGTACACTGCACAGACACGACGGTGGACTAATACTCGAAGAATGAATGTAGCAAGAATGTCTCACACAGCTTCTTTACTAAAGAATGACAAAGTTTTAGTGTGTGGTGGCATAGATGGAGAAGGTACTCGTTTTAGCAGTGCAGAGTTATTTGATCCATCCACAAATATCTGGACTAATGCTGCTAGCATGCATCACATCCGCGCAAGTCACACTGCCTCTACTTTGACAAATGGAAAAGTTTTGGTTGCAGGTGGAGTAGACGATTATTACCGCCTAAATAGTACAGAATTGTATGATCCATTAACAGATAGCTGGTCAATGACTGGTAGTATGAATGAGCCACGAACAGAACACACTGCATCCACATTAGCTGATGGCAGAGTGTTGATTACTGGTGGCTCAACCGATAGTGCTCACACTTCGAATACCAGTGAAATATATGATCCACTAACGGAAGAGTGGAGTTTTACTGGTTCTATGACTTTCGCACGTAACCATCACAAAGCAACTGTGTTATCGAATGGACAAGTGCTAGTTACAGGCGGACAAATGGATGATAGTCGTATTAATAGTGCTGAACTATACGATCCAGCAACAGGACGTTGGTCACCGACCGGCAGTATGAATATAGCACGAAAAGATCACAGCGCAACATTATTAACTAATGCAAAAGTATTGGTGACGGGCGGAGTTTCTGATACTGTAGCTCCATTCAGAAGTGAATTGTATGATCCGGCAACAGGCATCTGGACTTTGACTGCTTTTATGAACGAAGCACGGTGTGAGCATCTAGCTGCGTTATTACCTGATGGAAAAGTTTTGGTAGCTGGTGGATTCAATAGCTATTATATAAACGGTTGTGAGTTGTATGATCCTGAAAGAGAAAACTGGTCAATCACGGACAATATGAATTATGAACGAGTAGATAGTGTAGCATGCACGTTATCAAATGGAAAAGTGCTAGTAATTGGTGGAGACGAATCGATTAGTACTACTAGAGCAGAAATATACACTCCGTAGAACGTTCGGTGCCATCACGATGATATTCACGCTCACAATTTATTATTTTCATTATGGACAATGAGAAATTATCTGTGTGTATGTTCTGAACTAGTTTTAAAAATAATGAGTAAATCAAGTTTAAAAGTGTAAAGTTTTCAATTCTTGTCACTATTATTAGTAAAAGTATTTTTCAACATGAATGAAAAGTGTATCTTGCGTCGTTAAGAAACTTCTCCGTAAAGACAGTCTACAATAATTCTAAATATTCTCAAACTTCTACATCAGTGGTTTAATAAAAAAACGATCGATTCTCTTTTTCTTGGCTTTTAATTCTATATTTTATGTTTTAGGTCTGCGCATCAATTGAATCCGTATATGCTATAATGTTAACAACACTCGATAGTGTTGCGCGTTGATTGTTCACGTCTTGAGGCATTTATTGCAATACTGACAATTGGCAGTGACGTAACCAGAATTTTTATCGACGGATCTAGCAAAATACTGATAACTGCTGATGAATAAGAAGCCTAGAAAACATTTCGTTTATCACCATTGACTTCAACAACGTTATGACTTTTTTTTCTTGTATACCAATCAATCTTACGATCAACATCAATTCATGACTTTTAGATAAGAAATACTTGTGAAAAAGACGAAATATTTCATCAAGTGAGTTTCATATCCATATAAGTGTCGCATGCTCATGATCTTCTTGATACATTCGTACTATCCAGACAGTTAACTACGATTAGGAAAAGACAAAAAGATAAGCTGATTTTCGTTTTTACATTGAAATTGTTTAGTCAAGATGTTTTGTCAGAATAGAAAATTTCACTGTGTCCGGATCGATGTTTGGATAAAGTCGTTGAGGCGGATATGGAATAAATCGTCCGGTTTCGACGAAACCTAGTCGATGATACCAGTCGATCTGATTTTTTTTACTTGACAAAACATGACGATAAATGCGTTGTGCATTAAAATATTCTTTCGCCATTCGCTAAAACAACAAATTTTTTTCTCTATACTGTGCAGTCAGCTAAATATTAGCATTACCAACGCTCCATTGTACAACAGCGTTCCTATTCCTCGACTTTGATAATCAGGATCTACAGCATAGAGACCGAACTCCACTGCGACATCCTGCTTTTCATCATCACCTATCTGTAAATTCTTATCATACGATTCAATTTTGATGCAACCAACAATCTGCAATCCCGATGGTGTTCTGAGTTTAGCAACAAGAATAAGACGATGCTCCTTATCTTCGATCTCTGCTCGAAGTGATTCTAATGTAATTCGATCTGCTTTAACCACTTGCCTTGTACCGATCCAACTAAAAGTATATTCACCAGGCACTGTTGTAGATGGCTTACTTCCATATGCCCAGTTGATCACTTTGCATAAATCTTCACTGTCGTCATCCGATGCGATATACAGATGAATATTCTCGTTCGAATAATCATCAACAAGCTCTCCTGACTGAAAATGTGTGTTACTGTTTGCCATCGAGTGACGAATAGTGATAACGTCATGACAATAAATATAAAATAGGAAAGACAAATACAGCATCAAAGCGATAAGGTCATTATTTCAAGGTGAAAAACATCGAAACCTTATCTCTATATTTCTTTCGATATTCTATTACTCAAACATAAAACACACACATTCCTATTCAGCAGATATTTCATTTACCGTTCGATATTCGACAATAAAACACACTCTTTTTGTCCTTCATTTAACTTCACATTGTACCATAGACACTACCTGTCAATGAAAATCATATGTACATGTATTTGAATTTATGTTTCACCTCAAAGTGTTGATGGTATGTGAATAATAGAGAAATAGCATACAGATGACCCATCTACGAAAAAGTGTTATCTAAACTAATCTATACTTAGGATTGGATTTAACTATAATAAGAAAATCTCACGTTCAGATCGATTTGATTCAGTCTGAACAGTCAATCTTTTTCCATTACACTCTTATAATCTATTTTTATCGAACCAATCACCGTATATATGAAGTACAATGCAAGTCATTGTGCACACTTCTGCGTCAGCAGAAAATTCTTATCAGTATCATAAAATGACATCTCTTTCTTTCTACATTTTACATAACTTTTGACTCACATGGCGAAAAGCGATTCCCCAACGAATAATGAACTGGATGGATCGAGAAATCGACGGATTTCATCCCTGCGTCAACTACCCAAATCATGGATCATCATCGCCATAGTTTTCTATTGTGCATCGCTTGTTACTGTCGGTCTATTAGCTGGTCTTCTCCCGCGACGGATACAATACATCACGGTACTTGAAACGTCATCATTACCAACAACGGTTACGCAAAATCCATCGGAATGCGTTGAAGACGAATGTAATTCGCGTTTGCTCAGTGATTTAATAGTGGATAGTTATGAACTGGAATATATTTGTAACGACATCAAACAAACGACAATGGAAGGACAAGTAACAATTAATTTTCAGTTGAGACAACCAATTAAGCAACTGATTTACCATGCGAAGGAAATGATTGAACTCAAAGACGCGATACTATTCGAAAATGGTGTTCAACACGCGATTTCAATGAAAAGATACCTTCCCAATGATTATTTATCATTGCGTTTAGTAAACAATTCTCTATTTCCCAATAGTCAATATAAACTAAAACAAAAGTTTGTTATCAATCTACTCAATCCAAGTATCGGTTTTTATCAAAGTTTATTTCAAGATACAAATCAAATCAATGGGTGAGTTATCCTATGAAACTGCAAATGTTTTCGTTACTCCTACATAATTTAGAACACTATTAGCAACGAAATTTCGAGCAACTGAAGCACGACGTGTATTTCCATGTTTTGATGAGCCACGTTTCAAAGCGCAATATAAAATCACTCTCATTCATCCTCAAAATACAATTAGTTTGTCCAATTTTCCGATCGTACTTTTCTTCTTCTACCAGAGAAGCTCTACTTGCATGTTTTTTTCTTTTTCTTTCAGTTGAAACAATCCGTCGAAAACAACTCACTTCACACCACATTCGCCGAGACATTTCGCATGAGTACTTATGTAGTCTCCTGGGCAATTCTTCCCGAAACCTACGGAAAAATCTCAGATAATGATCAATCACCAACGGTAGGACATTTCGTCGATTGAATCCACACGATCCGTTTCATTCAGGTGACCATATGGGCACGACAAGAACCAACAAAAAAGAATCACACGACTTTAGCACTTGATATCGCTACAAATGCAATTCCATTCTATAAAAACTATTTCAATATAGCCGAAGCTTTACCTCCGAAGAAAGGTAAGAGAAGGCTCGTACGGACACCTTGAATGTCGCCGGAAATTTTCTAGATATTTTGGCGATAGCTAATATGGCAACAACTGCAATGGAGAGTTCAGGTTTGATTACCTATCGTGAAGAGAGAATAATTTATGATGAGAAAATTGCGACTACGTATCAAAAACAACAGTTTGCAGATATCGTCGCTCATGAAATCGCTCATTCTTGTAAGTGGAAATTAGATGAAGATATTACCTTTAGAAAAAAATCTTATCAGGGTTCGGAAATTACGTGTCATGCAAATGGTGGAATGATCTATGGTTCAGCGAGGTGATGGTCAGTTGGCTCTGTAGAAAAACATTTGCAAACAAATATTCAGATTGGAATATGGTAAGAAATATTTTCATACAGAATTCTTTTTAATAATTTCTTTTCGAAAGGAATTGCAAATCTTAACAGATGACACCATTTCCGCGATGTGGGATGACGCTAAACCATACTCACATCCCATTGCTGTTGGAGATACGATGACTATTCCAGAAATTCTCAGTTATTTAGATGGATTGACTTATTCGAAGGGAATTAGTCTTATGCGTATGGTGGAAAAAATTGTTGGCGGGGAAAGATTTCAAAGAAGTTTACAAGAATATCTGAGAACGAATGCATTCAAAGTTGCTGATTTGAATCAATTTTATAGCATGGTGTTGGGTAATTCGACGAACGGAAGAGAATTTATGAAAAGTTGGTTAGATGAAATGAATTATCCATTAGTAACGATCGATTTACAAGCAGAAAATAATTCAACGAAACTTATTTTTACTCAGTCACGTTTCATCATCTCGGATACATTCAATACAACGAATTTGAATCAAAATTACCGATGGAAAATCTATCTGGATTGTACTCTCGGAAGGAATAATTCGAATTCCGAGAGAATTAGATTTTTTCTTGAAAACGAACAAAGCATTGAATTTCTACCCGAAAATGAGTATTCATGGGTGAAATGTAATCGTGATTTCCAAAGTTTTCATATCACCAAATATCCTTCCAACTCAATACAATCGTTCTCATCCATTATCAAAGCACAACCAACAGTATACGAGACAAATCTCATTCATTCATCTTTCATCTCTTGATTTCGTTTAGTTCTTTTCAATTGAAGATCAAATTAATCTCCTACAAGATACATTCTTACTCGCTTATAAAGGCTTGGGTGATTATCTTCATCCACTGACAATCGTTGACTCGATAGGTAAAACATCCATGACGGAATATGTGCAATGGCGAACATTTCAATACCATTGGGACATCTTAGCTGACTTGATTGATCATCGACCCGACATATTGACAAAATTTCAAGTAAGAAGTTTACCTTTCGATCGTCGCTTTATGTAAATCGTTTGTTTTTTGTTTCAGAATTTTGCAATTCAACAAATTCTGTCAAATGGTCGAACAGTAGAGAATATTACATCGTTGTCATTACAGGATAATCACAATTCGAAATTGGTGAAAAGTTTACAATTTGCGTTACTTTGTCGAATGAACTATAGTGATGCTCTGGACAAAGCAAGTTTGTTCTTTCGATCAATTCCGAAAGATTATTTTAACAACACGAACGACAATATCAAGTAAGAAAATGATTCGATTGTGTTTATAGAGCAATCGAATCATTTGCGTTTTAGTGTTCCTGCTGACTTCTTATCGACTGTTTACACATATCATTTGACAACTGACGATGATGAAAACGATTGGAATCAGATGTATCAATATTACCAAATTGGTAGAACATCACATGAACAAACACGTGCTTTGATGGCGATTAGTTTCACGAAGAATACGAATCGATTAAACCGGTACGGATATTCACGATTTCATTGAATAATTTTCGTCTTTTTTTCTTGAAAGGTTGCTTAGCGAAGGATTAACAGGTGGACCGTATGCAGTTAAACGGCAAGATTATTTCACTATGATGGGTTATATGAGTCGACATGTGATTGGAAGAGACATTGTATGGAATTTTTATAAAAATAACTACTCGAATTTAGTAGACACGTTAGTATTGATTGTGTTCGTACATCAAATGATGTTGTATGCATATGTTTATTTAGTTTTACACTACAAAACTTTCGATTCGGTTCGGTCATCCTTTCAATTACACGTACATTTGAAAAAGAAACTTATCTCGACGAAGTAAAATGAATTCTTCATACGTTAACGATAACTTCTCTTTTCTGTTCGATTTAAGATGAATGATTTGTTTGCAAAGTATCCAAATGCTGGCGTTGGACAATCTGCACGTCAACAGGCTATCGATCAAGTCAAGATGAACATTCATTGGATTAACACACGAGAACAAAATCTTCGCACTGCTCTTGATAGTATAGCTCAATCTTGAAAAGAAATTCTTTTAAATATTACTAATACTAGCAAGATATGCTTTTCTTCGATTAATTCATTGTTATTAAATCACCTAATTTCATCTTAAGTTTCTCGTTCATTCGATACATTGAGTACTTGCGATTGTATATCTAATATATTACCCGATTGGCAAGAAGCCTTACACAAATAAGTACGAAGAAAGAGTAAGAGGAAAAGGTATACAATAAAAAAAATGCCGTGACGTTGTAATATTTAGCACACTCGGATATAATTTACTTTTTTTTTCAAATGAGCAGTTGAAAGTGAGAATATTATAAACGCAAAGTAAAAGAAACTATTGTCACGTCTACATGCTTGTTCATTCTCTTTTCAATATCAGCGCATTTGAAAACTCAAGGTCTAAGAACATGTTGTTGGAATATTTTCATTAACTTTCTCATAGGAACAACTTTGACGATATTTTAAAGTGAGTATAGCGTTTCATTTGACGCACGGCGAATGATTAGGGAAGTGCAAGAGCTTTTTCACTACTCATGAATGTTTAATAAAGCCATCCATTTGTCAGTTAATAGTGCATTTTCCGTATGCATTTTTGTAATTGAAAAAAAACTGTAGAGAGTATTTTCTGTCGAGAAAGAAGTGCGCAGCTGTTGTTCATTCTATTTATTGTTAGTTGAAATCAACCAACATACACTTCTGTTTCCAGTGAAATTGAATGAAGATGCTATTTCAATTAGTTATTCTCCTATTCAAAGTATATTTATCGTTTTCTACAATATCAGTCATGAAATATGAAAATGGTCAGTTGATTTCTAATACAAATTTGTCTTTGATTG